AAAAAAAAAAAAAAAAAAAAAAAGGACCAAAAAGAAACCACTGGCCGGGCACAGCAGTGTGCACCCACAGTCCCAGCAACTTAGCAGGCTGAGGTGGGAGGATCGCTTGAGTTCAGAAGTTCAAGCCCATCCTGGGCAATATGGAACCACTCATTTTTTTGAGACAGAGTCTCTCTGTCGCCCAGGCTAGAGTGCTGTGGTGGCATAGCTCACAGCAACTTCAAACTCTGGGCTGGGTGAAACTTCCCTTAAAATAAAGACTAGTAGATCTGACTTAATAATGCTGAGATGTGTGAGACAAAGTGGCAAACATAAGAAGCATTGTTAGCTCACTCTGCTTGTCTGCAGAACGTCCCACAGCCCCAGATCCAGGACTGAGAGCCGCCCACAGAAGAACCCTGAGGAAGATGGTCAGGAGACAGCCTGGGTGCCACGTCCCTTGCCTGCATCGCTGATTTTTAGAAAAGGTGAAGTCCAAAGATCCCAGCCCTTGCCTCTTCCCATGCATATGACAATGTTAGGCAGGACTTGTGCTGATACCTCTGTCATCTGTAGCCTGTTGTGCTCTCACACCCAACCGTGATGAGCATGTGCAGAATTGCCCCCACTGTGTCTGAGCTGTGAGCTGACCCTGCTTCAGAGCAGTCCAACAGACTCTGAAAGACTTTCCTAGGTTGCAGTCCTCATAAGACTCCTGAACAAAACTAATTTGAATTCTTTAAAAGCTTGATTTTTCTTTCATTTACAAATGCATACATATAAATATGGATTAATGAGATGAAGAAAATATTTGTGATTTATATACATGAGGATTATATCAGTCAATATCTTTAATATATAAAAATATCATTCAAATCAACAAGCAAAAAAAAAAAATAACCAAGGTTAAAAAAGAAAAGGACAGCTGGACATGGTGGTTATATCTGTAATCCCAGCTATTTGGGAGGTCTAGGTGGGAGGATCGCTTGAGCCCAGGAGTTTGACATCCTGGGCAACATAGTGAGACCCCCATCTCCAAAAAAAAAGGAACAGAGAAGAGAGACTTAATTTTTTTTTTAATTGAGACAGAGTCTCAACTCTGTTGTCCTGGGTAGAGTGCGGTGGTGTCTTAGCTCTCAGCAACCTCAAACTCCTGGGCTCAAGCTATCCTCTTGCCTCAGCCTCCCAAGTAGCTGGAACTACAGGCAGCTGCCACCACTTCTGGCTAGTTTTTCTGTTTTTAGTAGAGACCAAGTCTTGCCCTTGCTCAGACTGGTCTTGAATTCATGAGCTAAAGCCGCTGCCGCCACCACCACCACCTCCACCATTCCTCTGCCTCGGCCTCCCAGAGCGCAGGAATTCCAGGTGTGAACCACGGTGCCCCAGTGAGAGACTGAATTTTATAAGAGAACTATTTCATAGCTCAGTAGCATCAGGAGCTGGAATCTAACACCATTTCGCTGCTTCTACTTTTGTGGCTTTGGAATAGTGAGCTATGAAGATGTATATATAACCTATGCACAAATAATAAAACTAGTGTTTCTTGGAACACAGCATTGTACATAGCGTTTATAAATGCGCCATAAAGGGAATATTGTTTGCCTAAGTAGGTTTGGGGGCGGTGGGTTCTCTAACAGAGTAAGCAGAGGTATTACTGCAGCGTTCTCTTTAAGGGGCAAAGGCTGAGCCACATCTGAGACCATGGGAGAGCAGCTCCCCCGACCCCCACAGTGCACGTGCTCTCTGGGCTGGGCTCTGCTGGGAAGCGGGGTTGGTTCTTAGATGGGGTACCCAAGTGAACCTCTCCAGGTGCAGGGAAGATGCAGCAGTTGCCTATCTTGGCCAGCAGAGGGAGATGTTTGGTCTTTGCTATGAATGGCACCTTGTTTCTGTCCCTGCAAAACACGATTTGGTCTCAATTTGGTCTCAAATGTTTTGTTTTTTCTAACGATCGGAATTCAGGGGTTTCCCTGTGTTGCCCAGGCTGGTCTTGAACCTCTAGGCTCAAGCGATGCTCCACTTCAGCAGTCCAAGCGGCTGGAACAGCGGGAGAATGTGGGGCTTAGAAGTGGTCCTCTTTTCTCAGCTCACCTCTCATGACCATGTGGCTTGTCTGCCACCTGCCAGATGGGGTGCCAGGCCACACCTCCACCTGCCCTTGTCTTTGTCCACAAGAAAGCACCAACTTCCTCAAGAGCTCAAAGAGTTAGGGGTCTGGCTGTAGGGGATGGAGAAGGGTCTGAGGACCCATAGGCCTCAGGTCACCAGTGGTCCTCTCTAGGTCAGGCCGAGGGCTCATGTCACTTCCAACTCACATAGCATTTTCTCTTCCAAGAAGGAATAAATGTCATTCATTTATTCATTTGCCCAGCAAACATTGCAAAATTCCTCCAGGCAGCCAGGGCATGTAACTCAATTTGGGCCTGGAACATGGATGGGCCACCAGGCTCCCTTCCCATGCTCTTAGTCTGCCCCACAGATGACCCACGGCCATGATGGTCTGGAAGCATGGGTGGCCTCTGTGGGTAAAGCCCTGAGGCCTGGGGGATTGCTGACCCCTGCCCATGGGTGCCCCGGCCTCCAGTAGGGAGTGTCAGTGAGTCCTCACAGACATGTTCCACCAGCTCAGGATGCCCGGACCTGAGCCCCTTTGGAGACCCCTCCATGTGTGTGGTCTTAGGGCTTCCCAAGGCATCTGTGGGTGGAACCAGAGGTCCCCTGGTGTCCAACATGGCTGCAGAGCTGGCTGGCTCATCTCAGGATCTGCTTCTGGTGGAAACCTTGGGGTCTGAGCTGGTCACCAGATCACCAGGGCCTCTTCTGAGACCACTGTGGTCTCTGTCAAGCTGCCAAGCTGCAGTGGGGTATGCAGGGATCCCGAGGCACCTCCTGTCCTGTGGTTAGCACCAGGCCAGCAGTGCCTTGTCCATCTACCCTAGGCAGAACTTTCCGGAAACTTCCCCCAAGCCACCCATCCCTGCAGTGAAGTTCAAGCTGTTAGAAAACCTCTCTTCTGCTGTTGGGAGCAATGGGGCTGTTGGGGTGTGGCCCTTGGGCTGATAGATGGGCTGCACCCCAGTTCCTTGTGGTCCTTTCAATGTGATGTTCTCCTTGAAAAGCAAAGCCAAAGGAAGCAAGAGGAAAAACAATTAGGACGATTTGAATGATTTCACTGTCATCAATATTTTCTGTTCTTCATTTTTTTCATTTAAAAAAACCACCTATTTTAGAACAGTTTTGGAGTCACCGAAAGGTTGAAAAGTCAGGACATCTTCCTAAACCCAGCCCCCCTGCAATACCGCCTGTACTCACACCTGCTACCCACGAGCCAGCAGAGCTGTGCTGTCCTCAGCTCAACCAGCAAACCAGGTGGTGTCTAGGTCCTCGCAGTTGTCCCCTTACGCTCCCCTCTGTCCCGGGATCACATCAGGAAGACGGGGTCAATCGGTCCTCAAGCCCCTTTAGGCCCCTTTCCAGGTGTTCTGATGACTGGCAGTTTCTTTTTTTTTTTTTTTTTTTT